AATATAGTACTGGAAGACAAGAAAAAAAAAAAAAACAAAAAACGATCATCCAAATTGAAAAGGAAGAAGTCAAAATATCTTGTCTACAGATGACATGATCTTATATCTAGAGAAACCTAAAGAATCCACTGAAAACTTACTAGAACTGTTAAACAAATTCAGTAAATTTGCAGGATACAAAATCAACATACAAAAATTTGTAGCATTTCTATATACCAACAGTAAATAATCTGAATAGAAAACCAAGAATGTAATCCACTTTACAAGAACTACAAATAAAATATCTAGAAGTACACATAAACAAAGAAGTGAAAAATCTCTGTAATGAAAATTATAAAACATTGATGAAAGAATTTGAAGAGTAAAGACAAAAATGGAAAGATGTTCTATGCTCATGGATTGGAAGAATCAATGTTCTTCAAATGTCCATAGTACCCAAAGCGATCTACAAATTCAATGCAACCCCCAAGAAAATACCAATGACATTCTACACAGAAATAAAAAACATAATGCTAAAATTATTATGGAACCACAAAAGATTCAGAATAGCCAAAGCCATCCTGAGCAAAAGGAACAAAACTGGAGGAATCACGTTACCTGAGTTCAAATAGTCAGCTCTTTACTACAGAGCTGTAGTAACAAAAAATGGCTTGGAACTGGCATAAAAACAGACTCATTGACCAATGGAACAGAACAGGGACCTGAAAATAAATCCACACATCTACAGTGATGTTGATATTTGGCAAAGGTGTCAAGAACATACAATGGCAAAAGGACTGTTTCTTCATTATATTGTGCTGGGAATACTGGCTAACCATATACAGATGAATAAAAGTAGACCATTATTTCTCACCCTAAACAAAAACCAAATCAAATGGCTTAAAGACTTAAATCTATGACCTGAACCTATGAAACTCCTAAAAAAGGCTTTTGGAAACTGCTTGAGGATGTCGGTCTTGACAAGGATTTCTTCAGTAACACCCACAAAGCACAGGCAACCAAAGCAAAATTGGACAAGTGGAATCATATCAAGCTAAAAAAGCTTCTGCACAGGAAAGATAACAATCAATAAAAGGAAGCCACAATCCACAGAATGGGAGAAAATGATTATGAATGACTCAGCTAACATGGATTAATAACTAGAATAAGTGAGGCACTCCAACAACTCAATAAGAAAAATCAAATAATTTGATTTAAAGCATGGGCAAAAGATCTGGATAAACATTTCTCAAAAGAAGACATAGAAATGGTCAACAGTTATATATGCTATTGAGGAGGTATATAAAGGGGAATCCCCTTCACTATTGGTGAAAATGTAGTCTATGACCATACTACCCTGAATGCACCCGATCTCATCTGATATCAGAAGCTAAGCAGGGTCGTCTGGTTAGTACTTGGCTAGCAGAATGTAAATTAGTGCAACCACTGTGGAAATAAGTAGGGATGTTCCTCAAAAACTTGAGTATGCAACTACTGTATGACTCAGCAACCTCACTGATGGCTATATATCCAAAGAAGTGGAATTGAAGACATTAAAAAGATTTCTGCTCTCCCATTTATATTGAAAAACTATTCATAATCACAAAGATATGGAATCAATGTAACTCTCCATGAGCATATATATAGATAAAGAAATTGTGGTACATGTACACAGTGGAATGTTTTAGTCAAAAAAGAATGAAATTTTGTCTTTTGAAAAAACATGGATAGAACCAGAGAACATTATGTTATGTGAAATAAGCCAAACACAGAAAGACAAATTTTACATGTTCTCACTCATATGTGGGAGCTAAATATTAATAACAATTGATCTCATGGAGATGGAGAATAGAATGAAGATTACAAAAGCCTGGGAAAGGTAGTGGGCATGGGAGGATAAAGTGGGACAGTTTATGTGTACTAAAATTTATTTAGATATTTAGATAAAATGAATGATATTTAATAGCAGAAAAAAGTGAGTATAATCAACAATAAGATAAGGTATACTTCAAAATAACTTAGAGAGTGGAATTGTAATATTCCTAACACAAAGAATGTTAAATGCCAAAGGGATGGATACCCCAATTGCCCTGATTTGATTAATTCAGATTGTATGCCTGTATGAAAACATCCAATACTCTATAAAGATATACAACTATTAATATTCTGTATGCATAAAAATTAAAACTGAAAAAAAGTTTAAATAATGAAAAGGAGGAAAAATGAGGAAAAATGGAATCTTTTTCAGGATATATTTTTCTCCTGCACCCTCTCACATGCCAGATACCTGATGAATATTATTACTGTATGTACACATAAGTGTTGATCAGTTAATGGCAAATTGATGGTGAGTACATGTGGTGTTTGTCTTTCTATTCTTGTGAAACTTCATTTAGCAGAATGGGCTGTAGTTCTATCCAAGAGAATACAAGAGATGCTAGATCACCATTGTTTTTGTGGCTGAGTAGAACACCATGGTATACACATACCCCTTTTTATTAACCCTCTCATATATTGAAGAATACTTGGGTTATTTCCACATCTTTGCAATTGTGAATCGTGCTGCTATAAATATTCTACTGCAGATGTCTTTTTGATAGAATATATTTTGTTACTTTGGGTAGATGTCCAGTAATGGGATCAAATGGTAGATCTACTTGTAGCTCTTTGAGGTAGCTCCATATTACTGTCCACAGAGGTTGTACCAGTTTTGGTCCCACCAGAAGTGTATGATTGTTCCTATGAAAGCCATTCTAGGTGAAGTTCAGTGATACCTCATTGTGGTTTTTATTTGCATTTCCCTAATGATTACAGATGTAGAACATTTTTTCATATGTTTCTTGGCCATTATTATGTCTTCTTTTAAAAAGTATCTGCTCATATCCTTTGTCCGATTTTTTTTGAGACAGAGTCTCACTTTTGTTGCCCAGGCTAGAGTGAGTGCCATGGTGTCAGCCTAGCTCACAGCAACCTCAAACTCCTGGGCTCAAGCGATCCTAACTGCCTCAGCCTCCCGAGTAGCTGGGACTACAGGCATGCACCACCATGCCCGGCTAAATTTTTTGTATATATATTTTTAGTTGGTCAGTTAATTTCTTTCTATTTTTAGTAGAGACAGGGTCTCACTCAGGCTGGTTTTGAACTCCCGACCTTTAGCAATCCGCTCGCCTTAGCCTCCCAGAGTGCTAGGATTACAGGCGTGAGCCACCACGCCCGGCCTTTTTGTCCAATTTTTAATGGGATGGTTTTTCTTCCTGATTTCCTGGGTTCTATATACATTCTAGTTACCAGCTCTTTATCAAATGTGAAGTCTGCAAATACCAAATTTCACCAAACCTACAAAGAAGAACTGGTCCCTATCTTGCAGAAATTATTCCACAACATCGAGAAGGATGGAATTCTCTCCACATATACCATGAAGGCAACCAACATCACCCTGATACCAAAACCAGGAAATGATGGAACAAAAATTGAAATCTACAGACCAATATCCCTTATGAATATAAACGTAAAAATTATCAACAAAATTCTAGCAAACTAAATTCAGATGCTTATCAAAAAATAATCCATCACGACCAAGGGGGCTTCATCATAGTGTTGAAGAGATGGTTCAACATATGCAAATCTATATATGTAATTCAACCTATAAACAGATGTAAGAAAAAGGACCATAAGATCTTCTCAATGGATGCAGAAAAAGCATTTGACAAAATTCAACACCTTTTTATGATAAGAATGCTTAGCAAAATAGGCATAGATGGGATTTACCTCAAAAGGATAAAGGCCACATATGACAATTTCCAAAGCCAAAATAGTGCTGAATGGTGAAAAATTGAAAGCATTCTTGCTTAGAAATGGAACCAGACAAGTTGCTCTCTATCACCGCTTCTATTGAACTTTGTGCTGGAAGTCCCAGCAAGAGCAATCAGATAAGAAAAGGAAATCACAGGCATCCAACTGGGGACAGAAGAGTTCAAACTATCACTCTTTGTTGACAAGATGATATTATATTGAGAAAATCCCAGAGATTCTGCCATGAGACTACTGGAATTGATAAACAAATTCAGGAAAGTTCCAGCTTACAAATCAATGTACAGAAATCAGTAGCATTTGTATATGTCAACAACAGTCAAACTGAGAACCAAACCAAAGACTCAATACCCTTTAAAATAACAACAAAGAAAATAAAATACCTAGGAATATATTTAACTAAGGAGAAGAAAGTCCTATACAGGGAGAACTATGAAACACTGAATAAGGAAAGAGCAGAGGACAGAAACAAGTGGAAAACCAGACCATGCTCATGGGTCAACAGAATCAACATTGTTAAAATATTGTACCCAAAGTGATCTACAGATTGAATGCAATCCCTCTTCAAATACCAAAATCATTTTTTGAAGATCTATAAAAAATAAAACTATACTTCACATGGAAACATAGAAGACAGCATATAGCAAAAGCAAGCTTAAGCAATGAGAACAAATTGGAAGGCATCAATTTACCAGACTTCAAGCTATACTACAAGACAACAGTAACTAAAGGAGCCTGTTGCTGGCAATGGAACAGAGACATAGATGAATTGAATAGAACCGAGAACTCAGATATAAAATCATCCTCATATAGTCATCTAATCTTTGACAAAGCACATTAGAACATACAGTGGGGAAAAGAATCCTTTTCAAAAAATGATGCTGGGAAAATTGGATAGCCACATGTAGAAGATTGAAACACAATCCACACTTCTCATGAACATCAACTCACAGTGGATAACAGACGTAAACTAAGGCATGAAACTATAAGACTTCTAGAAAAAAATGTTGGATAAATTCTTATAGTCATTGGCCTAATCACAGAATTTATGAAGAAGACTACAAAGGCATTCACAACAAATACAAAAGAACAAAAATAAATAAATGGGACCTGATCAAAATAAAAAGCTTCTGCACAGCCAAGGAAACTATCCTGAGAGCAAACAGACAACCTTGAGAATGGGAGAAAATATACAACAGAATTCTATATGAGAGTTCATAACATTATTTCAGATATTTATTTGCCATGGATTTGATAAAGGAAATCAAAGCAGGGCAATGTATACAGAGTCAACTTAGGTACACACAATTTTTTTGGAACATAACAGCATCTACTTTAAGCAGTAATAAAATGGTGGACAATCCAATAAGTGAAGCAGCATCAACTAGTCATCTGTAAGAAGAAAAAAGTTAGTACATTTTTTATAGCATGGGAATAATAACCAAATAAAATTTGGATAAGTTCCAAGATACCTAAATACATTTGAGAAAGCAGTCCACCAAATTAAAGAATAAACCATATGAGCCATGAAAATAATGTTTGACTAATGTTATTACATAAAATTAGAATTCTGAATATGTCAGGAAGATCATAAGCAGTTTGTAAGTAAATGTAAAAGTAAAGAGTCCAGCTCTCCATGATTATATGACAAATTGATATGAGTAATCCTCAGTGGATCAGAAAAGGAGGAATTCCAGGACATAGGAAGCTCTCCTGATGGCAAAAATATAAAGGTATTAATAAACATTAATGAGTGAGATTTTTCAACATGGTTCAGAGTCAAATATTGAAATGTAAGATTTAATGTATTTCCCGCTAAAGGTGCTTTCTTAGGATTCTGTGTGCTGGGCTTAATACCATGTTTCATTTACATCCCAGATGAACTGCAATGGAATGTCTTTCATCTGCTTTTGGAAAATCTTGTCAAATCTTTCATTCTGCTCAACGGTCATTTGATTTTTCCAGTCTCCAATGGTACCTGGTAGAAAAGAACAGAGAAATAGCTTCAGTGATGTTTTGTCATGTAGTCAGGGGCAAAACAAACATATCACTCACTGCTTGGAGAAAGGTTATCCCCAATTTTATTTTTCTGCTCATTAAGGTCCCAGGCATTCCTATACCTAGCTGAGACTTCACTCTCTCACTTTATGGCAAGCAGATAACACACTTATCATTGCAATTTTACTGTAATTACATATGATCATCACCCACATTCTCAGTGTCGGCACTGGGGAAATTTAAAATTACAACTTTATCACTGTTTTGTTCCAAGATCACATTGGTTCCTCTAATCTACAGAAGTCTCATAATATTCTCTAAGATAAGTCATCACTGAGATAACACTTATAGGTAAAAACTGGGATGCTCAGAGAGATTTTGTAAAACAGCCCCAGATCATACAGTTTATAATGGCAGAGCTGAAATCATTCCACCTTTACCCCATTTACTTGGGACTTGGCCTTAAACTAAATTTGAAAAGACACACAGTTGTCATGAGGAATAGTAGCTGACACAAAGAGAGGCAAAAAAGGAAAGATTGATTTGAAAAATAGGTTGTGCTTGAAAACACACTGAAAACTGAAACAAATGACTGAAGCACTGAATGAACTAAGAACACAATCAACTAGTGCAGGACTGCTAAAGCCACAGCAAATGATGATAAAGTGGATAAAATCAAGGAGCAACTCTTTGAGTCCCTTTTAAAATAAATACATGGCTCTCTTCCACAAAGACATTTGGCTTACTCTTATATTTCTTATAGTCATATGAGTCTCTCATTGTCAGGGTTTCCAAAGGACACACAAACACAGAAAAAATGTCTTCTTTCAGATACAAAATGCAAGTGCAGTGCTAACAGAGGTGGGCAATTTCCTGAGCATCTGGAAGGCAGTAGGGTGTATTTGGCCTAATGGCAATGGGCGTGTCTCACTTCTTGTCAGCTCAGTGCTACCAGTGCTTCAGGTATTTCAATACAAGAGGGAAGGACACAAAAACAGAGGAAGGGAAGGAAATGCTAACTTAGAGGTATACAAAACCAATATTTATTGCTTCGTGACATAATATATATAACTCTATGAAATTATCAACTGGTAAAACCTATGTCTCTAACTCTGTGTAATATACCATGTTAACAAATAAGAAATGTAACATGGGATGATAGAGTAAAGTAATTAAAATATTTTAATATTTTTAATTCTAAGAATAGTAGGAGAAATCATGTATTCTAAAAACTCATTCCCCTGAGGCAGAAAAATGAAATATAACTATAAATTTTTAATGTATTATACTAGTCTAATAAAAGACATGTTGCAGTCATCCCAATAACAAAAGAAGAGCCAGTGTGTGTTGTTCTTTCACCACAGTCAGACTTCCAGATAAATCATGGAGATGCAAGAGAGCAAGTGATGACCAATATGTTTATCAAGATTTCATTGTCCGGTGCTGTGGCCTTGTATAGGTGGGGGTATAATCTAATCCTAAGTGAATATCCATGATAGTAGGTAGATACTCTGCTAGCAGATTTTCAGGGCCATATAGAAGACATGGGCAGAAGACAGGTTTTCAGGACCATATAGAAGAAGTTTTTAGGTTATCCATCACATACTCTTTAGGAAGCAGGCAATGTAGTCGCATGGAGAGCACCAGGCAGACATCATGTAAAAGAAACCGACTAGAGCAGGGAAGAGGGACAAGAGGGCTCCACTGTTTGAAACTCTACCAGGAAACCCTGGAGCTATACTCTCTACCCTCAACACCATAGTGGAAAACATCTGTTCACTATTTCACTCCTGAGCTTCACCTTTGCGAAGGAAATGGCCTTCTCGTAGTTTGGGCCCAAAGTTCCAGTAGAGTGCATTTTCATTGTTTGCTAGTGGGTCATTCTTCATGTTCTCAAAAGTGGCCTGTCTCACCACAGTATCCATGGTCTCCTCACTCAGGTCTTCACCGAGAAATTTGCAGAGTTTAAACACAGAGCTTCTCAGATCCTGAAATAAATCACAGTGTGATAAATTATGCAAATTATAAGAAAGGAGACACATTCAGGTGTCACAGCTAAAGATCATTGTGGGAATGAAAATTGTGAGTACTTTAACTGGTTAGATGTTTGGAGTTGGACAGTACAACTTGACTTTCTTATCCATACTGGTAAATATTTCATTTATCTGCTGGTTGAGAGTTTAATTATGTTAATTGCACATTTTTCATTTTCTGTGTGTTCAGTTAGCAAAGTCTCTACTGTCAGGCAATGTCCTGGGTGTTGTGGGGACAGGAAGGAAATGAGTGCTGGAAGTTGAGTCCAAGATCTAGGGCAAGAGACTAATTGTGGAATAGAAATAAGACAAAGTACTATACACAGTACTATAGTTGTGTGCTATATATGGGATATCAGGGAACAAAAAAATTAGAAACTCAGTATCCTCCGAACTTGATGGAAACAGGCCTGGGATGAGAAATTAAGAGACATGCCTAGAGAGATGGGCGGGACCACACTGTAAGGAGGCTACAAATTAGTCACATAGACCCAACTGGACACACACATTAGACCCAACTTTGGCCATTGAAACAGAAGAGGAAGTGAAATGTAAGAAGCTTATGAGATTGGCTTTCATCCTGGAGAGAAGGTGGGAACAAAACAAGGGACCCAGTCCCTCTCTTCCTGCATCAGGTACTTCTAGATGAGGAACAGAGTTTGAAGCCCTGAAAACTGTCTTCTGAGGAGAGATGTCACTGATATAGCAAATATGACAACATGGAAAGGTAGAAAATGCTTGAGACACTCATGACATCCTTGAGTTGCCATGGCCAACTGCAGGATTGCCAACCTATATATCTCAGTTACTAAACAACACATGTTTTTATATTTTAGGCCACTTATAGTTGACTGTTCCTAGGAGCCAGACTATTACCAAGGAAAGACAAATATTTTCCTGTTTATATAATTTTTCTCTTCTTTTTTCATTACAAACCCTTCTGTTGAAGGATGACTTTCAATGGATTCCTAAGAGGGAGCTGCTCTACTGTATATGATGTTTTCATTGAATTTACAATAAAATGGTTAACTCAAGACAACACAGATAAAGTCAGTGATAATGGAAAAAACCTCATGTTAACCTTAATCTTGGACCTCAAATTCCACATTGTTCTTTGGGTGTTGTAGCATGAATTATGAATTCATTAGGCCACGCCGAGTTAGAGTGTAGATCGAAGCACAAATGCGAGCTCATCTCACCTTTTTCATCTCTTCATACATCATGAACTGAATATTGAAGTAGTTTCTGTGCTCATACCAACCTCTGATATGGTCAAACCAAAGGTTTCCTACCACTGTGGGAAGAAGAGGTAAGTAATTAGGTAAATATGTTGAGAGTCTTAAACAGGTTATGAGGTGTGGGAATCTTTAGTAACCAAAGAGGAAACAGACATCTGTTTCTAGTTTCTAGATTTTCCTTGCCATGTGGTTATTGGGGAAGCATTTATCTTTGATCAGGGAAAAATTACACAAAATCAAAGACAACTTTTAAAATGCAGTTTGTATGAACAGAAAGCAGCCTAATGTGGGGTGAGTAAAGACCAAAAATGGAGAGCAGCTGACCAAACCTCCATTCCTCTCCTTCCTTCTCTCCCTGTCCTCAAACACACACATACAGATATTTCTCAATGTGCCACCATAGGGTCCCAGAGGAGTCACTTCTGCTCTACACAGTGGATCATTGCCTAAGCTTAGGCTTCCTGTGTGATATTATCATCTCTGTCTCCATAGCCCTTGCTCCTTCTCACCTAGCTATGTTGGATCCTTAGAAAAACAAAGGAAAGGAAACTCTCAGACACACACCTCTGAGTTACTGAAACTCTAATCTGTCCTCACGCTTTTCATGGCAACTGATTTTGTAATATAGGCAACCTCTGGAGAGTGGGTGAGACTAGAGGAATTGTCATGAATAGAAGGACTTGGTCCTTCTGGACAATCCTAGCAACCAGTTGATATACTGACCACTGACCACCATTCTACTGTATTTTCACCACCCTGTTTACCACTGTCCAAATTCATAAAGTTCGGAAACTCACCACAGCCCAGCAAACATAATATTTGGGTAATAATATCAGTTACCTTTCCCTTCCAAAAATTGCTTCATAAATGCATCAATGGTGTCCGCGGCTTTATATACTGGATACGTGTTTAAAAAATGAAAATATGAGCACATAACATCCTTAGGGTTTCTGTATATGTATATAATCTGCAATGAAAAAAAATTATTATTATTTCTGATGCTTTCATTTATCATAATTTCTTCAGAATACATTTCAATTGGGTTAAGCCCATTATTTTAGCTTTTATAATTTCCTGAGTGTGTCCTCAACATTCACAGCTTCCCCTTTATATTTACTGCTTCCCCTTCTCTGCAACACCATTTAAGACACATCTCAGATTTACTTCTTCTTATCTCCCCCAAGCAGAGAGAGCAACTTTGTTTTTTGGCCCCTGAATCTACTGACCTATTAATGCATGTGAAAATGCTTCGTAAACTATAAAAATATGTGAGAACAACCATAATTTACTAAAATCATTTAAACTCATATTATAAAATTTATAGTTTGTTTTAGTCATCTTTTAATGTAAGATTTACCTAATTTTTATTTGTGTATCTTTATTTAATCTAACTCAAGTGCTTGGGACACAGAAGTTACTTTCTAATTTTGCTTAGAATCTATCAAGAAATAGAGAATTGGGTGGGGTTTTTTTTGTTTGGGTTTTTTGGTCTGGTCTAGTGAAACAGTGAGAGTGGAGAAGGAACATAGGAACATTTTACAACAGGAACCTTGTCTGTGATCAATATTTGCAAACCCCACAGCACTCAGACCAGACTAGAAGATTTGTATTTCTAAATCATCTAGCAGAACTAACCAGAATAAATTAACTATAAATAACAATTAAAGAATCCAATCATATTGGAATACAAAAAAATCATCAATATCTACTCTAAGCCACAACTCACTGTCTCAGTACATCTTTATACAGAATATACATGGGATCTGTGAAATTCTAGGCCTGCATCTTTGTTTTTAAATGAAATGATGTGTAACATTAGTTATATCTCTGGGATAACTTCCAAGTTTGGTTCAAAGAAGGTTTCATCTATGTGCAGCCTCCCTGGGCAGAGCCTGGAGCTAGCCCCGAATGCTGTGAAATGAGGTGATGGACACTGGGTGTATCTGCAGGTCTCCTCAACCCTAAGTGCTCTCCCAGTGCATTGAGGGATAGTCCTTCTTCCATGGGATATCAACAACTGTTGACATTACTGGAAAGGAACAAATTGCCCTTCACATCTTGAAAAAAGTCCCTTTCAGTTCCTTCCTGTGATTCTTTTGGTCTAAGAATGGTTTCTTATCATTCGTCCATTTGCTTATGTAAAAATGACACAGATTAATGTTATTAATACTATCCCTGAGTCACTTGAGCCACGAGTCCTAGTCCTACCCCTCTTGTATAGATAATAACACATGTTATTGCACAGGGAACTTGGGACGTGGAGAGTTGTGAGGAAAAAATAAAATTTCTATTGGAATATTTTAAGTTTGAGAAGTCTATTATACATACAATAGAAGATACTAAATAGTCCATGTCAGTGTAGAATTGGCAAAACAGATCAACTATTCATGATATGATTGTATATTATCTAGCATTTAACTGCACATGGAAAGAGGAGAAAGAGAGGAAAAATATCTGGAATCATCAGCACTAGGAGATTGAAGAGAGGACAAAGAAGGAAGGAGGAAGAGGTAATGCCTCAGCATGCAATGGTCTGATAGAGAAAATCCAAGTAATTTTTTTCTGTATAGCAAGGGTGTCTATTTTCTCACAAAACAGGGAAGCCCAAGATTATTTTGGAATAGATTCGGTTAACTTATCATCTGAGTGTTGTCAGCAGGGAGTTACAGTCTCCCTGCTTTTCTACTCTGACAAGCTGACTCTCCTCCATGTCTGAGCCACCATTGCTCCTTCTTCCCCAAGGCTTCTTTAAAGAGTGAAGAGACTTTCATGAGATTCCCAGTAGACTCATTATTCTGTGTCATTGTCCCAAAATTTGTTATGATGGGAGCACCCTACAAGGAATAAAAATCATAGGAGATAGCAGCAAGATAACAGGGGCTTGAAGTCACAATTTAAGTTCAGGTGATTTCTTCATTCATTCTTTCACCCAAACCACCTGCCAGGCCCTGTTCTACACACTCTGAACACAGCAGTGAGCCCACCTATACCTCAGCCATGAAGGTGCTAAGGTTTGGCCAGAAAGAAGAATGCCTGAATATATATTATATCAGATGTCAATCAGTGCTGTCCATACATGGAGCTGTGTTATAGGAGACAGTGGCTGAGGTGGGTGAAGAAAAGGTCACAGGAGTCTAAGAATGCACACCAGGAGGCTAGACAGAGCTAGCACCAGGCTGAGGCAAGTGCAGAGCCTGAGCTATGAACTTTAAGGAGGCCCTCACTCTCAGGCTCTTGCTGGTGCTGATCCTGCACTTTCACAACCTGAAGAGCATGGGCCTCCTAAAATGTTGAGCACAGCTGCCAGATTAGTCTCTGCCTTGTCTGGCTCTGCCAGAATATCATTCCCATGAACTTGCCCAATCAAATGAGGAACATGCATGCAGCTAGAGAAAAAGTTAGAGAGCCAAGTGCTGACATTTTCAATAGTGGTCACTGATGCAGGGAGGAATGTGAGAAAGCAGAGACAATCACTACACAGAAAAGTGACTTGCTCTGAAGTTTCCTTGACCTTGCAAGTAATTAGGTCTATAGAGAGAAAGGGGCGTGGGAATTAGGTTGGGAGTGTCAAAGTGAACCTGGGGGGGCACTAGGTGTGTTGAAGGGACAGGAGTGCTAATGTGATGTATGTATAGACGCCTATTAAAGTTTGAATTAGCTCTATTACTTATACAATTAGGAAGGAGACAAGTGAAAAATCAAATTCAAATATTGTAACAGAAGAACTCAGATGTGTGCTGCACATGACAGTCTGTAAAATGCATTCAATTTCATCCTTTGCTGTTTGCTACCAACTGAATAAATGTGGTGTCAGTGTAAGGAGGTACAAGGAGGTAAGGAAAGAGGGCAGATCTTATCAGCAGTAATAGTATTTCTATGCCCTACTTTGGCTTTTTTGTCCTTCAGCCCTCTTGGAACCAAGTAGTATGGGAGGTGAGTAACGAAGAGACGAGGAGATGGTCTACTGGCAAAATCTATATCTCTAGAGCAGTACTCAAGAAAGGGGACACGATGATGTGATTCCAGATTTTCCGTTCTTTTGCGATGTTCCTCAAAATAAATCAAGCTTAATATCTGCTGTGCCCAGATGGTTCCTATTAAAGAAATAACATTTTTATTAATGCATGGCTTTTAGAAAAATATATATAACCAGTTTTGTAGTCAAATAAAGTTTGTTATTACAGAAGTTTGTATCACATTTTCGTTTAAAAAACGTGACCTAAGGGTCAAGGGAATATATATTGCTTTTATTTTTCCTTTAGGAAGTTCCGTGTGGGTTTTTTAGACAGGTTCCTTCTTTGATTCCTTTTTCAGCTTTCTTCTGCTTCATATATTCTCCCTTTAAATTATGTTCTGTGATTTCCTTTATATTTTTGTCCACAACCTCATTCTTAGAGCATTAACTAATATAATCACAGAAAAAAGGAATTGCAGTGAAGAAGTAACCTTGAATCTTTTTCCCTTTTCTGTTCCCCATGTTACTCTTGTTATTGCTGCTTAAGAAAATAGGAAATAGGAAATAATCCATACAGATATCAAAGGGAAAATCATTTTTGGAAGAGGAGATAGGGTGTGCAAAGGTCCTGAGGCAGCAACTTGCTTTTAGAAATTCCCTAGAGCAACTGTGAGGGATCAAATTCAGCAAAAGGACCAAAAATATTTTTAAGTACTCACACCTCGTATTCTGTTGCTATGAAACATTATAATATAGAAGTATGTCCTGTTCATTTATTTGAACACTTAAATGGCTCTCAAAGCACATGACTCTTTTTTGTTAAGAATTAATGTTTTACATATGCTAAGTCTATTTGAAATATCTGTGATCCTGTAAATGGTAATAAGTTTCTATGGTTCAGATACCTTATATTTAAGAAGTTAAAAGAGTCACCATTTGGCCACCTCTTTCAAAGTGACCAGGAAGCTATGGCATTGGAAATGTACTACTGTGGTGAGCTGTCAGACTCATTGAGCGGCAATGGTCACTGCAGACACAAAGTGTCTTCAGAGTACAACACATGATGCAAAACTGGGCCACCTGAAAGACCCTAAAGAGAAAATGGAATTGAAATCAGGTTTTAATCATGTTGGGTCATCAGCAGGGAAAGCAGGCTCAAGGAAAGCATGGAGGCACCAAGCCCTGAGGCAGATGCTCAGGCAGGAAGTAAAAATACAGCAGGCAATGGCAAGGAGAGAGACAACCCTTTAGGATGTCCCTAACTGAATTCCTATTTAGCGTATTGCTGTAATGAAACACACAATTCTATGACCTGGAGATAATTAAAAATATTTAGGAATTATTCTGTAATATAATAGTATGTTAACTTTCTCCTTCTTATGCTCTTCAAATATATCCCACTACCTGACTAAATGCTAAATATTCTTTCTCATCCCACCTCAGCATTCAGCGTTTGATGTTATCTTAAGTCTAATGGTTTTAACATTTTTCCCATTCCAATGCTAAATCAGAAATAACTTATAAGGACATTTAAAAAACCTTATTTATCGGGATATTGAATAGTGAGTTTTCTATGTACCAAGGATTAACACTATATGGACATATGCAATACTACTGAAAAAATTAAATTATCATTTTATGTTTTAGATTAGCATTGGAATTAGTATTGGAATACTGAACTTACCAGATTTGGGGTATGTGACTACGAAGACATCATCATCTCTAAGTTCAAAATCATCTAAATTTTCTAAAACGCCAGTATCACATGCTTTACGGTGAAAATAAAATCCTTCAAATGTCAATAAATCTCTTTCTAAATCTTCCATAATGCAGTCCTGCAAAAGACATATAACATTCTTTGAATTATATTTACATGAATTTTGTATCTTCTTTCCATCAGTATTATTACCTTCCGGTCATATATTCAGAAAAGAAATTGATGCTTTATTTTCCCCTTAAACATATATAACATTCTAGCTCTAAAAACCAATGCTGGGTGTATGTCACTTGCTCCAATGCCCAGGAGCCTGCTGTTCGTGGAGTGAGTCTTGGTGTTCTGTGTGTATGCTCCACTGATATAGCTACAGAGAGGAGAGCTGAAAGTAATTATTGTAAGAATTTAAAAAAATGTTATCAGATGTTTGGTATATGTTCCACTATAAACAAATGTAAGGATTGGATTTAAACAGGTGTGAGAAACATTTGACTCTTAGACTCGTCAAAGAATCCTCTATCATAGGGGTCTTTATTTTTTTTTTCCTTTTTTTTTTTTTTTGTAACTGAAGAAAGGGGCTTAGGTTTTAGCAATTTAATAGAAGCTTTTCTTTTTATATTTTCTGGAATTAGGCCCTTATATTTTCTGACAATTTTTTACTAAAATATAATTTTACTTCTTAACTTATAACTTATGTGGAGCAATTGGGATAATAAAACCACAGAGTCACAGACATGAATATATTCCGGAATGCCTGGGAAATTAAAGATGATCAATTAAATTGTCCATAATGACAAAATAAACATTGGAAGAATGTAAGAAAATGAAAGAAAACATTCAAAGAGTGTGTCAACATGAAAAGTGATAGAGGAAAGATTTTAAACCAAATCTTGTGAGTCATCATCTATGTACATAGTTTACCTTTCATTATTTTAATATTGCAAACTCTGAAATTTTTTTACTTTGGGAATTCATTCATAGGAAGCTCATCTTTTCTTCTTCTTTCCAACTTGCTAATCATAGGATTAAAATCAAGAAAAGCATAAGAAATACATAATTTGAAAGCAATTAGTAATTCCAGGTAGCTTGGCCCATCGGTCATTCCAACAGAAAGGAAATAAGTAATTTTAAACTATGTTTAAAAGGAAAATTCTAATTGTAAATCTTACTTTTGATAGCTTCTCCTCTAAAATGAGATTTATGAAAGGTAAAAATTAGTTGACACCATCAACATGTGTTTCTTGCCCAAGAAAGAAACTGGTAGGGAGGTGGGAAGTAGGGCAGCAGAGAGACAGACACTTGTTCTGTCACTAGAGTTACTTAAAGATCCTCTTTGCTGTCCCTAGGTGTTCAAGCAAAACAGCTTAATTTACCTCTATTAGAAATTGGATTCCAGCTCTACTCTTACTTCTGCTGTAAAGAAGTAGGATTCCATGACTAGTAGCCAAATGCACGCCTTGGGATCAGAACAATGAGGATGAAGCTGTGAGACCTATGCCTTATCATAAAGTAAACACAATTTCTGTGCTTTGGGAATAATGGCTATGGGAGAAAAGATCATAACAAAGATGGCTAGTGATCCAAGAGTGACTATTTGAGCATGAGAAGACAGAAAATGATTATAATCTTCAAAACTAGACATCAAATAAGGGCTATATTGACTTTTATTCTTCTGGTGGTCCACTGTAAATAAAAATGTAGGCTGAATCAACTACGTATACTACAATCCACAAAGATTTGTAAATTATATCAGGGATGCCATCAAAGACATAGCTGAACAACTAGGGCCCACCAATAAAATGACCTGGGGAAATAGAATGGCTTTGGACATGATATTAACAGAAAAAGGTGCAGTGTGTGTCATGATTGGAGGCCAGTTCTGCACTTAAATCCCCAACAACACAGCTCTGGAAGGCGCAATCACCAAAGCTCTGCGAGGACTTACTCCCTTGTCTAATGAAGTAACTGAAAACCCCAATGTAGATGACCATTTCACTAGCGTCATGGAGCAGTGGTTTGGAAAATTCTACCTTGCTCATGGATTGGCAAAATCAACACTGCTAAAATGGCCATACTACCCCGAGTGATCTACAGAATTAATGTAGTTCCTATCATAGTACCATCATCATTCCTCACAGATCTAGAAAAACTAATTGTACGCTTTGTATGGAACCAGAAAAAACATCATATAGCCAAAGCAATCTTATGCAAAAACACCAAACTAGGAGATATTAGTCTACCAGACTTCACGCTGCAATACAAAGCTATAGTAACTAAAATAGCATACTACTAGCACAAGAACAGAAAGATAGACCTTTGGAAAATGCATGAGAATCCACACATGAAACCATCCGCATATTTTCATGTAACCATTGACAAAACAGAGAAAAATATGCACTGGGAAAAAGAATCTCTTTTCAATAAATGTGCTGGAAAAACTGGATAACTATATACAGAAGATTGAAACTGGGTCCCCACCTCTCACCTCTTACAAAAATCAATTCATGATGAATAGCAGACTTAAACCTAAGGTATGAAACCTTAAGAATCCTAGAGGAAAATGTAGGGGAAACTCTTTAGGCAGCAGCCTAGGCAAAGAGTTTATGAAGAAGACCCCCAAAACAATCACAGCAGTAACCAAAATAAAGAAATGGGACCTGATTAAATTTAAAAGCTGTTGCACAGCCAAAGAAACTATCATTAGAGCAAATAGACAGCCTAAAGAATGGGAGAAAATATTTGCTTTCTACACTCTGATAAAGGGCTGCTAACAGGAATCTATCTAGAACTCAAAAAAATCAACAAGAAAAATTCCAACAACCCCATCAATAAGTGGGCAATAGAAATGAACAGAAACTTTTCAAAAGAAGACAGAATAATGGCCAGCAAACATGTAAAAAAAATGCTCAACATCTCTGATCATCAGGAAAATGCAAATGAAACCACACTGAGATATCTCCTAATCCCAGTGACATTGGCCTTTATCAAAAATCCCAAACCAACAAATGCTAGCAAGGATGGGGAGTGATAGGAACACTCTTACACTGCTGATGGGACTGCAAATTAGTACAACCTCTGTGGAAAAGAAATCAGACACACCTCAAAGAACTAAAAATAGAAATACCATTGGATCCAGCAATAGCACTATTAGGCATCCACCCATAGGAACAAAAGACATTCCATAATAAAGACATCTGCACTTGAATGTTTATGGCAGCACAATTCACTATTGCAAGGATGTGGAAAACCCAAGTGCCCATTAATCCATGAGTGGATTAATAAAATATGGTATATGTATACAATGGAATGCTACTCAATTACAAAAAATGATGGTGATCTAGCATCTTTTATATTTTCCTGGAGAGAGCTTGAGCCCATCCTCTGAAGTGAGGTATCAGAGGAATGGAAGAATAATCACCACATGTACTTGCCATCAAGTTGTCACTAACTGATCAACATTAAGGTGCTCACGCATTAGCAATATTTTGGGAGGGTTGGAGTTTTGGAGTAGGTAAACTCACAACTAATGAACACAGTGAGAGTTGTAGTGAGGCAATGGCATGCCCCAAATCATGGCTTGGGTGTGGTAATGTCATAACATGTAACCAAAATATTTGTATCCCCATAATATCCTGAAAAAAAAAAAAGAAAATGAAAGAGTTTGATTACGTCAGTACTAACTTCCTTAATTATTGTATTTAGTGTCTTCATATTAGTGGGTTGTTGCATTATCCCTTGTGTTAGGAGACTAATCCAGAGATTAATAGAAACAGCATTAACTAAACAACCTTTTCCACCTCCATATGAAAACAAGTTGTTACTATTAAAAAACCAAGAACACCAAAGTCACCTCCTCCTTACCTAATTTGAGGAAAAGTGTAAAAAATTCTAATACAAAAAAGGTGGAAATTGTAGGAGGAGATGACCTCGGCCTAATCTTTTCTGCCAAAGGCATAAATACTCTGTCTGATATCAAGCTCTACATAATTATTAGCACATAGCAAAACCTCCACAATAACAACAACCTTGCTTTCATCTACTTTATTGCAATACACACACTAAAAAAAAAATAACTATGTTTAGCAGTTTTAACTTTCTTGTTCTCTGTTTTACCTCAACAATGTGCCTTAGCCAATCAGGTAAGAGCAAGATTGTGAATTCAAAGTCCCTACTGATGGGATGACACATAACCCTAGGTGTGCATTAGAGATAAAAAGGTGAAGAACCTCCTTGGGGCACACTGCTGGCTGGGTGCTTTGGCTGCTGCTATTCACCCTTCTGATCAGGAGTAAAGATTTTGCCTTGCCCAGACAATCTGCAGTGTCTGACTGTTTTCTTAACAAAACCATGGATTACCTCCAACATGAGTTCATTAGGTTTATTCCTTCTTTAATGCTCCAACAGCAGATATTTAGCAAGATATTAAAATTGCACATGACTCTCCTAGCAAAACTTTAATTTTGTATTAGTTTTATATGAAAGGCTACTACTAAGATACAGATTGTTTTAGAAAGGAGAAAAAAAGTTATTGTAACTAAGATGTGACCCATTAGTTACTTATCTGTAGGCTTGCAATGATATACAATGATCACATTTCCATTTAAAATAATTTCTACTGATAGATTTTTCCCATATTTTTAATTTGTTGTTAAGACCTAATGCTGTTTGTCTTCTAGTCATTCAGCAAACATTTTGTCATTTCCTTAAATATTTAGCAATCTTTTCAACACATGCAAGCTCATACATTATACCCTATGACTCCTCTCTTCTCAATTTCTCATTTATTGACTTTGATTTATGTGTCAGATAATACTAGTTATTTTCTCATATAAACCACTTTTATTTTCAATTTTTTCTGTTTATACTTATACATTATACATGGTCAATTAAAACCAATTTCCTATCACACTTTCATCAAATTTAACCCTATTGTGTGAAATTTAATGTAAATTTTCTTTCTCACTTTTATTCTCAAACCCTGAAAGACATTATGAAGGCAAAAGTAGTCTTTTGCCTTCATAGGCAAAAGCTTCATAGGCAAGGAGCTACGCCTAAAACAAAACTTGTTAAATAACCAAACTCCACTAGATATACATACCCATATAAACACAAGCATAGAAGTAGAGGACTGCCTCTCATTACTGGGATGGACAGCATTCTTGCCAATGATCAGAAAGCTTGGCAACATTCATCTCTTAATATATTTATTATTACTTGCCTTAAAATAAAATATATATGAATTAAATGGAACTGTCCAACATACACTCTATTTAATCATTCTCTTAAATATCCCTTGCCAATATTTTATTCAGAATTCTCTACTGAATGAATGAAGCATATCTCTTGTTTGGAATCTAGTGAGGAGATATGGAAAGATGAAAATTCTAGATTTGTGATTTAGTGGAGCCTTTCCATTCTTGCTGATGTACCCATTTTGACTTGCACTCTATGAGTCTTAGTTGGAAACCCTAGAAATCCTGGTCATGGACCTTGAGCACAAAGTAGGAAGAATGTAATCCAGAATGGAAGAAATTTAAGGGTCTGAGAGTTTGTTCCAAGTTGTGCTGTGAATAGCAAGTCCTGCAGCAGTGAGGGGTGGGGGGGACAATGTATTTAGAGAGTGTGAGCGCATGCACATGTTCATAGTGGAGTAGGTTAGGTCCTTAACCCAGGATGAACTAGTGTCCTTACAAGAAGATGTAAGACACAGACAGAGACACACACAGAAAAGAGAACCAATGTGAAGACTGACAAAGAGGGAGAATGTTAGGTAAAGTTGTTGGAGAAATTCAAGTGAAGAGGCCTAAAGCTAAGGACTGCTTGGGGCTACCCAAACTTTCAGCAAAGACAATATCAATATTCTCCTCTAGAAGACTGATTTCAGAATTCTAGCCTCCAGTATGGTAGAAAAATAAACTTCTGTTGTTTTAGGCATCCAGTTTGAGGTACTTAGTTTTTGTAGCCCTAGGAAAGTAATACACTTTATAATGTCCTTTTAACATCCTCCACAGTATTTTGAAAGTTCCTCATTGTTTTCTATCCTTAATTCAATATTTCTCATTTGTATTTTCTCAGGAATAGTGTTAATGCCACCAGTATTTTACACTTTATCAGCCAGGTATTGAAGAGAGTAGTTTCATTTAATAACCTATTTAAATGCAGTAGTACTTATGGCTTACTCTTTCTTGCTTGTGTTTTCCCTTTTATTTAGCCTGCCAGCTTCGGCCTTTCAACTTTCAGAAAAACATAAAGGAGATGAACATTTGTACTTATTTTTAATTCTATTGCTATTCTGTTTTCAAAATATTAGTTTCAGCTTTTATCATATTTAATGCCATTCTCCTTTTCTATTTTCTAGGTTCTTCAGTAAAACGCTTAGTTCAATGTTTTCACTCCCATATGTTAACATAACAGCACTTAACAGTTGTGAATTTTAATTGATCATTCATTAGCAGGTCTTCCACAAATTATTAGAGCCAGCACAAAGAGATAAAACCAATCTTATCCCAGCTAGGGTCAAGAGGGCATTTCAGCACACTCTTAGAATAATAACTTTTTCAGGCAAACATGTACCCAGCAGCAAGCTCTGAGAAGACGTAGCATACCTGTGTGATCCTGGCTAGTCTCCCACACTCCCTGTCTTCAACTCTCACAGCAGCCCGACTTTTCTCTGCTTTAAAGTCTTTAGGACTAATCCTCTTATACTCTTGGTCCCAGGCACATTGTTCATCAGAAGTGACCTTGGATTTCAACCCTACCCCTATTGTTCCCCACCAAGTTCTGGACAAAATTTTGCTGAGTATATATTCTATCGCTCCAAATACCTGATATGCTATATTAGTGTCCTTAGAAATAATGACCAATTAATTTTTAATCTGAACTTCACCTTCCTGCTAAGCATAACTTTATATTCTACACTTTGCCACCTCCTGAATCCCTTTAATCCATGGTCACTTATTAACCAAGTACTCTGTAACTTCAACCCCTTTGGAAAACTGGTTCTTATCCAATTTTCTGTAACAAATGTGTCTCTTCCCTCTGAAATTAATGCTTCACTTATCACTCTCTCAAGTGATGGATATTTTCATTTTCAGAATGGAGATTTTTCTACTTCCCTTCTTATTGCTACTTTCAGACAATGAGCCCACCCACCTATGGTATATGTATACCATGGAGTACTATTCAGCTTTAAGAAACAATGGTGATATAGCACCTCTTGCATTTTCCTGGATAGAGCTGGCACCAATCTAGTAAGTAAAGTATCTCAAGAATGGAAAAACAAGCACCACATGTACTCACCAGCAAATTGTCATTAACGGATCAACACCTAAGTGGACATATAGAAATAACATTTATTGGGTGTCAGGCAGGTGGGAAGGGGGCGGAGGGGATAGGTACATACAAAGATAATGAGTGAGATGTGCAACATTTGGGGGATGATCACACTTGAAGCTCTGACTCGAGGGGGGGAGGGCAGGCATGAGCTATATACATAACTGTAACATTTGTACCCTGGTAATATGCTAAAATAACAAATAGAAAAAAATAATAACACAACTTTTTGAGAAATATAAAAAGATATGGATAGAAAGAATAACCTTTTAAAAAATGGAGAAAAGTTGTTAAAGCGTCGAAGTTATGTGAGAATTTTCTCTTATGGTTATTTGTTTGTTTGTGAGCAGTGTTGGCATATGTTTAAAATGATTGCTTATAAAATGCTTCTTCTAAGACTCTTGGTAACATCAAATCAAAAATCCTCACAGATACCAAAAAACATGAAACACAAAAATGAAATCACACCACCAGACAATATTACATTTAACAAAGAAAGAAAGGAAGAAAAGAAGAATGAAATGAACACAAACAACAAGAAATCAAATAACAAACTGGCAGTAGTATGTCTGTACCCATCACTAATAACATTGATTGTGAATGGACTGAATGCTCCAATCAAAAGACATAGAGTGTTTAGTATGAAAAAAGGTGTGAACTCTACTCATCTAAAAGAAACATGTTGAATTATAAAGGCATATATAGACTGAAAATAAAGGGATGGAAGAAGATATTCTGTGCAAATGGAAACCAAAAATGAGCAGGAGTAGCTATATTTCTTTCAGATAAAATAGATTGCAAGAAAAGAGCTATAAAAAGACTCAAGAAGGATAACAGACCTAAACCTAAGACATGAAACTTTAAGAATCCTAGAAGAAGATGTTGGGAAAACCCTATCAGATATTGGTCTAGGCAAAGAATTTGTGAGGAAGACCCTCAAGGCAATCACTACCACAGCTAAAATAAACAAATGGGATCTGATCAAATTAAAAAGTTTCTGCACTGCCAAGGAAACAATCAAATAGACAACCCACATATTTGCTCTCTCCACTTCCGATAAAGGTCTAATAACAAAAATCTATCTAGAACTTAAAAGAATAAACAAGAAAAAATCAAACAACCCCATCAAGAAATGGGCAATGGAAATGAAGAGAAACTTCTCCAAAGAAGACAGAATAATGGCCTACAAACATATACAAAAATGTTCAACATCTCTAATCATTAGAGAAATGCCAATCAAAACCACAATGAGATACCACCTAACCCCAGTGAGAATGGCCTGTATCAAGAAATCCCTAAACAACAAATGCTGGCGAGGATGCAGAGAGACAGGAACACTTTTACACTGCTGGTAGGTGTGGAAATTAGTGCAACCTTTGTGGAAAAGAATTTGGAGATACCTCAAACAGCTAGAAATAGAAATACCATTTGGCCCAGTAATAGCATTGTTGGGCATTGATCCAAAAGAATGTAAGTCACTCTATTATAAAGACATCCACACCCAAATGTTTATAGCAGCACAATTCACTATTGCACGGTCATGGAAACTACCCAAGTGCCCATCAATTCATGAATGGATAACTAAAATGTGGTATATCCTCACAATGGAATATTACTCAATCCTAAGAAACGATAGTGAACTAGCACCATTTATGCTATCTTGGATTAAGCTTAAGCCTGTTATACAAAGCGATGCGACACAAGACTGGAAGATGCCATCAAATTGGCACTGACAGCCTAAAACTATGGTGTTCAAATAATTGTAGTGTTCAACAGGGATCTGGCGGGTAGGGGGAGACGCACATCTTAAGGATGTGATGAGCATTGTAGAGGGGAAAGGATTACCTTTATCCCCTTTTAGGGAGAGGCAAAGAAACACACTGTAACCAAAATGTCTAAAAGAAAAAATTTTGTTAATTGGAGGTGAACTGGTGGAAGGGGGGAGAGGGAAAGGCTATGCACTTTCATGGTGGGTGCAAGGCGCAACACTTGAAGATTAGACATGCTTGAAGCTCTGGCAGAGCAGGGTGGGGAGGGAGGCTAGGGGCAAGATATGTAACTGGAACAATATTTGTACCCACAGATTTGAGAAAAATAAAATAAAATTATAAAAAAAGACACATATATGGTCATAATTATGATATTCATTATAATCAAATGGGATTCATCCCAGACATGTAAGGATAGTTCAACATACACAAATCAATGTCATACATCGCCCAACAGAATGAGTGCAAAAACCATATGATCATTTCCATCGATGCTGACAAAAAATTCAATAAAATTCAGCCTCCCTTCATGATAAAAATTTTCAAATAAAAGCATATGGAACAAACTACCACAACACAACAAAAGCCATCTATGAAACATGACAGCTAGTTTCATACTGAATAGGGAAAAACTGAACGTCTTTTCTCTATGATGTAGGATGGACAAGGATGCTCATGTACACCATTGTTAGTCAACATAGTAATGGAAGACAAGTCAAAGAAAGACCATCAAAACTGGAAAGGAAGAAGTCAAAATATCTTGTCTGCAGATTACATGACATTTTGTCTAGAGAAACCTAACGATTCCACTGAAAAACTACTAGAACAGCTAAACAATTTCAGTAAATTTGCAGGATGCAAATCAACACACAAACATTACTAGCATTTCTATATACCAACAGTAAATAATCTGAAAAAGAAACCAAGAATGTAATCCACTTTACAATAGCTACAAATAAAATACCTGGGAGTACACATAACCAATGAAGTGAAAAAACTCTGCAATGAAAATTATAAAACATTGATGAAAGAATTTGAAGAGGAAAGACAAAAATGGAAAGATGTTCTATGCTCATGAATTGGAAGAATCAATGTTCCTGAAATGTCCATACTACCCAAACCAATTTATAAATACAGTGCAAGCCCAATCAAAATACCAATGACATTCTACACAGAAATAGAAATCATAATCCTAAAATTTATATTGAATCACAAAAGACCCAGAATAGCCAAAGCCATTGTGAGCAAAAGGAAAAGAACTGGAGTACTGACATTACCTGACTTAAATATTATTACAGAGCTGTAGTAACAAACACAGCATGAAATTGGCATAAAATCAAAATCATTGACCTATGTAACATAATAGGAAGCCTGGAAATAAATCCACACATCAATAGTGAATTTACATTTGACAAAGTTGTCAAGAAACATACCTTGGGGAAAGGAGAGTGTTGTCAATAAGTGGTGCTGAGAATACTGGACAACAATATGCAGAAGAACAAAACTAGACTCTTATTTCTTACCATATACAAAACTTAAATCGAAATGGCTTAAAGACTTATATCTAAGACCTAAAACTATGAAAGTCCTAAAAGAAAACTTGGAAGAAATGCGTCAGGACATTCATTTGAGCAAGAACTTCTTCAGTAATACCCACAAAGCACAGGAACCAAAGCAAAATTGGATAAATGGGATCACACCAAACTAAAAGACCTTCTGCACAGGAAAGAAAAGAATTAACAAAGGGAAGGCACAACACACAGAATGAGAGAAAATAATTGGAAACTACTCATCTGACAAGGGATGAATTAGTAGACTATAGATAAGGCACTCCAGCAACTCAGTAGGAAAAAGTAAAGTAGCCTGATTTATACTGTGGGAAAAACATCTGAATAAACATTTCTCAAAAGAAGATAGAAATGGCCAACATGTATATGAAAATAACTCACATCAGTAGTCATCAGGGAAATTCAAGTCAAAACCAGAAAGAAATCATTGCACCCAAATTTAAATGGCTTTTCCCAAAAAACAGGCAATAATAAATGCTGGTGAGGATGTGGCGAAACGGGAGCCCTCATAAAGTGCTGGTGGGAATGTAAATTAGTGTAGCCACTGTGGAAAACAGTATGGAGGTACTTCAAGAAACTCAAAATAGAATTACCATAGGAACCAGGAATCCCACTGTTGTTTATGTATCCAAGGTGGGGAATTCAAGATATGGAAAAGACATCTATACCCCCATGTTTTCTGCAGCACTATTCACAATGGCAAAGGTATGGAATCAATGTAACTGGCCATGAGCAGATGAATGGATAAAGTACTTGGGTACATATAAAAAAAAGAATATTACATAGTCACAAAAAGAATGAAATCATGTCATCTGAACAAACATGGAGGGAACTGGAGAACATTAGCTATGTGAAATAAGCCAAGAACAGAAAGACAAATCTTGCATGTTCTCACATATACGTGGCAGCTAAATATTAAAAACAATGGATCTCACAGAGACAGAGAGTAGAATGATGGTTATAAGAGGCTGGGAATGGTAGCAAACAGGCAGGAATGGATAAAGTGGGGAAGGTTAATGAGTGCAAAAATATAGTTAGATACTTAGATAGAATGAAGGATATTTGACAGCACAACAAAGTGAGTATAACCAATAATAACAGTATATCTCAAAATAACTTAAAAAGCAGAATTGGAATGTTCCCAACACAAAGAAATGTTAAATGCCTAAGGTGATGGACACCACAATTGCCCTGCAAAGGCAGTGTACAAGGACAGACAAGGGGAATGGTGAATCCTCTCCTGGTGCAAGGGTGTCAGGGCCCTTGTATTCTTCTTTAAAGCAGTAGATTATGATAGAAATAATGTGTGTGTGTTTCTTAGGAAAGGTGAACAGAATGATAGGGGGAATTGAAATAAGAGTGACTGAGTCAGCCAGCAGCCCCAGGTGGAGACCCAGTGAGTGGGTGTCCCAGTGCAATTGCAGAATCAGCCGGCTGGGGGTGTCACCATCTATAGTACTGCCAACCTCAGACTAACTGCATTGCTTTCCACTCAGCCAAGCCTATGCCCAGAATGCCAGAATATG